CAGTATAGTCCCCTTGTACCTGCATTCTGCAGCCTGCATGAGTAGTCTGGATGGCTCCTTTGCTGCTGCAAGTCTCTTAGCTGGTTTCAGGTGTCATAGGGGCCATGAGCCGGACTCCGGCAGGCGGCAGCATCTATGCGGGGTCCACGGGACTGATCCTATGGTGTGGGCTCTTACTCCTCCCATTGTGACAGGTCGGGTCTCCAGCTCGGGAGGCCTGCTCCGGGCTGGCCCCTTCCGCAACGACGTGGAGCTCTTTGAGGTAGCGATTGCAGCTCCAAGGGATGGAGTATCCAATTTTGTATTGTGATGGGGGGTAGCTCCAGCCGTTGTATGAATGTGGGTATCTTTTCTGGGTTTCGTGCTGAAATCCATTTATTGCGGTGTTGGATGGAAATGCTCCCTCAGGGCCACAGTCACCGGTAGGAGGGCCCGCCTGACATCCAGGGTCAACGGTGAGAGGTCATTAAAGAGGGCCACATTGGAACCTCTGTATGTCCAGTGAGCGCGGGATCTGGCCTTCCGCATTATTTGTTCTTTGATGGGGAAGGAGTGCAGGCAGCAGACTATATCACAAGGTGTCCCCTCAGCTATCCGCGGTTTGAGATCGATGTTGGCCCGCTCAAGGCGGAACTGGTCCAGAGCTTCCTCTCGCAGAATAATGCGGAAATGCTGGGTGAGTGTTACCCCACATTTCTTCCCTCACTGTCGGCCTCAGGTTTGCCCCGGCCGGTGGCCGCGGTTATCAAGATCCTCTAATAGCCTCCTCATAGTGAGGATCAGGGAACCGCATGAAGTGTGGTTGACACCTGCTGCAGTGACCATCAGGGCAGCCATGCGCTTTAAGTCTGCGCTGAGGTCAGCAAGAGCTATAGGTTCCACGCTGGAGCATAAGGAAGCCAGGGATGTCGGCGTCATTTTGGATGCAAGGGCCTCGTGCGAGGAGCAGGCCGGCATGTGGACAAAATCATCGATCTGACCCATTTGAGACCCCGGTATTTTATTCTTTGGGGTCTATGGGGGGGCCTTGTCGCTTGTTCCTCCCCATTTGGTTGCGGCAGTCGGGCCTAGGTACGCTAATTATTGCTGGGTGGTGTGGAACCGAGGGTTTAGGCAGCCATCACACTCAGAGTCCAGGACACGCCCCCATGTAATACATCTTTATACTTCTTCAGACTACTTGTAAAATCTTCTTTTCAAAATGATGCACTTTTCTGTATGGAAAATTGACGTGCAGGTGATTTTTAACACTATAAGGGGAAGAGAAAGCAATAAATACATATTTACAATTTACAAAATACAATTTTATTACTTGTGCTGTATAATTGCTCATCACATGGTATATAACTGAGCCCTAATATATATATAGCTTATAAGTATCTGAACTCTCTAATTCATTTTTGTTTAAAATCAGAGAAAATCAGTGGATTCATAATTACCAAATAAATATCAAAATGGTGCTTTAAATCAGATATGACCAGCAATTTAATTCTGAGCATTGACTACCAGTTCATTCCAAAGTTTTGAAATGTGGTAGGGAAATTACCCATGAATATTAAAATAAGCATATTTATTCTACTACATGCACAGAATAAATGCATGCTAAAGCTATGTGAGCTGAGATTTCTCAGCTCACAAGGGAGTGCTTTGTGCAGGTAGAAACACTCAAAGAAAGTTTTCCTAATTTGTATGTGTGCTGAGAGGCATGATGGAGAGAATATTTCAGTGTATCAAAACGTTTTTGACATTTATAAATATATCTGAAAAGGATTATTTCAGGGGGTTTTCAGGATGGTTGCTACTTAGAAAAGAGGAATGACAGCAACTTAACAGAAATAGTGGCTCTAATGATAATAGCTGGTATAAGTTTCAGTGTTTCAATGACATTTCGATTAACTTACAAAAATGTTTGATCAATCTGAAAACTGCCTGGGAAACTTTAACAAAAAAAAAAACCAAATGCTAAACAGTGTAGTGGTTATGATGCCAGGAGTTCACTAGTATTGTTATCCAGTAATGGGGCAAAGCGTTTCACAACAGTTTGATGCCTTACCTGGGTCCATGCAGGGCTTCGATGCTCCCTGGTTATCCGGTGTGATTCAGTCGACATTTAGTGGCTGAGAGTGTCAGCTAACTGCTCACTGCTAATGACTGTCATTCTGTGTTATTAACATGGTACAGAATTGACATTAGCCAACAAAGGATTGCAGGTTGATTGACGATACTAATATAATACCGCAGTAGAGGGGTTAATCTTTGTATGTGAAGCATTTCAAAGCAAAATGGTGTTCACACAGACTCCAGGCACCAAATCAACTAAGTGGTCAGGGTGCTTAGAGTTAACCCTTTAACCCAGCGGTTCCCAAGCTTTGTGCTGTGATGGGGGGTAGCTCCAGCCGTTGTATGAATGTGGGTATCTTTTCCGGGTTTCGTGCTGAAATCCATTTATTGCGGTGTTGGATGGAAATGCTCCCTCAGGGCCACAGTCACCGGTAGGATGGGCCCCGGGGATGGGCACACAGGGTCGTTGTGGAATGATTCCCCGGTGCTATGATTATAGCACAAAGGAAACATAACTGATGAACTAGGGCCCAGTCCTTTAAGACCTGGAACTGGCCCCTGTAGTGTCTTCCGGCAGAGAGGAAGTGACAGCCTGTTGCATCCTCCCATCAGCCAGCAGGATTCCAAGCCACCCTCATGGACATACAAGGTAAGCTAACATGACATATGCATAGTCCCCTTTTGGAATTTGCTTACCACCCAAAAAATTCTCAAACACCTTGTATTGGGAAAATTAATATCACAGCTTTAATGATATAAAAGGTAACATATAAAATTATATGGTCATTGTCAACACAATACATACTACACTATTAACCCCCATTCCTTTAACATAGCTACCCCGAAAATGACCCACATAAACAATTATTGATACCAACCATAACATATAAATAAATGAACATAAAACATAAACCATTACCACCGAGGGCATGATTTTCCAGCTTTTCACAATATACTCAGTGTGCATTTCCTGTCAGTCTGGCCGGGTACAGGAAACAGAAACTCCTGTACCGCGGAACGGAGAGGACCTCTGCCACGCTACAGGGAAGGGGAGGTGAGGAGAACACAAGGGGGGGAGGGGGGTTAAGAAAAACTGGGGAGGGAGTAAGAAAGAAGAGGGAGGGAGAAAAGAAGAAGGGGGAGTAAGAAGAAGAGGGAGGGGGAAAGAAGAAAGAGAGGAGGGGAAGTAAGAAAGAAAACAGGGAAAGGGTAGTAAGAAAAGAAGGGGAGTAAGAAGAAGAGGAGGGGAAGTAAGAAGAACCAGGGAAGGATGAGTAAGAAAGAAGAAGGGAGGAAAGGATGAAGAAGGGACAGGGACTAAGGGGAGGGAGTAAGAAGAAAGAGGGAGGGGTAAGAAGGAGAGGAGGAGGAGAGTAGAATAAGGGGAAGTAAGAAGAAGAGGGAAGTAAGAAGAAGAGGGGAAGGGAAGTAAGAACAAGAGGGGAGTAAGAAGAAGAGGGGGGAGTAAAAAGAAGAGGGGAGGGGGAGTAAGAAGAAAAGGGGGAGGGGGAGTAAGAAGAAGCGGGGGAATGCTTCCCTTACACACAAAGAAACACACAATGCATCCATTACACACACACACACACACAATGCAACCCTTACACACAAAGACAATGCATCCTTTGCACACATACACAGAAACACACAATGCATCCCTTAAACACACATGCAAACACACACATTGCTTCTCTTACATACACACAGAAACACAATGCATTTCTTACACACACTCAATGCACACACTTACAGACACCCACCTTGCATCCCTTATGCATACAAACACAGATTCACACAATGCATCCCTTACACACAACAAGAAACACACAATATATCCCTTATACACAAACACACACTGCTTCCACTACACACAGACACACTGCATCACCTGCACAAACTGGTATTCCTATACACTACATTCCATAAGCACACACAATAGATCCTCTACAATAACATATAACACATCCTCTACTCACTCCACTCCCTATGAGCGAACATATAGGTGGACTTATGGGTGGGCCTTATGGGCATACTCACCGTCAGGCCCTGGGGCCCAGACCTTGAGCTGTGTAAGGGGCCCAAAAAAATGGAGGTGCTTCCCGTTCTCCCAGAACATTGAATTTTGTGACCACAGTTACAAACAGCGTCCAGAGATCCTGTTCTACACCAGATCAGTGGAGACTAACTGCAGCCAGAGCCCATCACCATCCTCATCTGGTTGTAAGTAGGCAATCTAGTATATTATTAGTTACACTTATCTCTAATCTACCTCACATTAAAGGGACCTATTGTCCCCAGAACCACTGTAGCTTAATGAAGTGGTTCCGGTGTCTATAGCCTGTCCCTGCAGGCTTTTTAATGTAAACACACACTGTGTGCAGCACTGGCATTAGTTCATATGGCAGATCATATGGGTGGGGCATTGTGACGTCACATGGGGGGTGGCGGCGGCAAATTTTTCTTTTGCCTAGGGCGGCAAAAATCCTTGCACCGGCCCTGCTCACAAGCAGAAATGGCTGCATTGGGCATAATAATACATGAAGACTAATTTTCAAACAGTCCTGTTCACTGATGAGTGCCGTGCAACCCTGGATGGTCCAGATGGATGGAGTAGTGGATGGTTGGTGGACTGCCACCCTGTTCCAACAAGACTGCGACGTCAGCAAGGCAGTGATGGAGTCATGTTTTGGGCCAGAATCATGGGAAGAGAGCTGGTCGGCCCCTTTAGGGTCCCTGAAATTGTAAAGATGACCTCTGCAAAGTATGTGGAGTTTCTGACTGACCAATTTCTTTCCTGGTACAGAAGGAAGAACTATGCTTTCCGTAATAAAATCATCTTCATGCTTGACAATGCACCATCTCATGCTGCAAAGAATATCTCTGCATCAATGGCTGCAATGAGGATAAAAGGAGAGAAAGTCATGGTGTGGCCTCCATCATCCCCTGACCTCAATCCTATTGAGAACCTTTGGAGCATCCTCAAGCAAAAGATCTATGAGAGTGGGAGGCAGTTTACATCCAAACAGCAGCTCTGGGAGGCTATTCTGACATCTTGCAAACAAATTCAAGCAGAAACTGTCCAAAAACTCACAAGTTCAATGGATGCAAGACTTGTTAAGCTGCTATCAAATAAGGGGTCCTATGTTAAAATGTAACGTGACCTGTTAAAATGTTGTTATAAGTTTGATTGAAATCGCTTTTGATTTCAGTAAATATGCTGCAAACACAACAAATGACAATTTTCAGTTCTTTTGAGTGTTTTGAAACTTACTGTGCGTAATAATTTGGAACAGTGCATTGCAAGTTTTTTATGTTTAAAAAAAATACTTTTATCATTAGGAGGTTTGTTCAATAAAATTTGAATTGTACTCTTAATAGTTGATAACATGAGAATTATGCTGACTGTTATTTACATCAATTATTTAGGTAAATGAAAAAAATATCATTTGCATAATAATTTGGAACAGGGTGTAGAGCTAAGCTATAGTTAAACTACAACTTGTATAATGATTTGCCAGCTTTAGGGTCTCCCCAATACATTAAACTTGTGGTTCACATCAGAGGTCTGTTATTCCTTATATTCCTTATATACCAATATGAATATGATTAGCTTGCATGGTGTGATTAATGACAGGATGGATGATTATGATATATTTATATATAATTTAGTTTTACATCATAGTATAACGATGCATAAATGTGAAGTATGCTGTTTTCTCATAGTTGGGTAGGCGTTATGGGAAATGTAGCCTACAACAGCTGGAGTGCAAAAGGTCACCCACCGCTGTGGCAGTGTATCTCATAGATAGCTATATTATTGGCATAATAGTTAACTGTATCTTCATGCCACACATGTACAAACATTAGCATTACATAGTCTGTATCCTCAGCTAAAGGAGTCAAGTTATGGCAAAATGTTTGCTTTCCCATTCCCCAAATATTTATTTATTTATGTGTTAGCATGTAGAGATATATTTTGCTGAAAGAAAAAACACAGATTATTCATAGATTAGTTTGTTTAAAAAATATATGCAAATGGTTCATAAATAAGTCTATAAAAAGATCTAGCGTGAAATGCGTACATTTTTTGATGGTAGATTTCCTAACTAATGTCTTTGTTGTAGTTTTGTTATTTGATATAACGGTTTCTAGAGGCTGTGTAATAACATTCAGGATAATAACATACTTAGTCAGCCACCTAAAGTATATTTTTACTTATATTTCAATTTAAGATGGCACTCCTGACCAACAACAGTTAAAAGTATGTAACATTGATCCAAGTTTAAAGGGACACTAAAACCACCCAGACCACTTCATCTCAGTGACGTGGTCTAGGTGCCATGGCCCTGTTGTTTTAACCCTGCAGCTGAAAGAATTGGCATTCTGCAGGATCAGCAATGTTTACACTGTAGGGTTTAAATGCCTCTAGTGGCTGTCAAACTAACAACCACTAGAGAAGCTTCTGACTAACTGTATCTCTTTTGGTGGGACAGTCCTGATTTTTGGTGTGCTGTCCCACTGTCTCACTTTAGTTCCCTGGTGTTATGCATTTGTAGATACCAGGAAGCTCTCCTCATGCAGCACAATGTGAGCACATCATTAGATGCACTCACACTGTGCAGCTGGCACTAGGACCATCAGTGCTCCCTGCATGGTCCTGAAGGCTTAGGGCTGATCAGGATGCCTGTCAGGTAGTAGGCTTTTTGGGCTGACCTACCTCTTTTTTGACATCATCACCCCTTTCCCAGGGGACCCCACCTATTGCACGTGACGTGGTTTGCATCACTGGTGACGCCTCCTTAGGACTCTGTCCACTGTTCCAGATTTGAAGAAGAGCAATGTTCTGAGGTGTGTGAGTGAAACTAGGCTATTTCAATCAGATGTACAGAAAAAAGAAGTTAACTGTTAGTGCTATAATACACAGAGTACCCAAGGTTTTTAAAGTGTTCCCTTATAGACACTCAAGTTACAATAGTGAAAAGAAAGGAAAAAAACCAAAAGGCACAGAACTATGTAAATCACCAAAGTGATAATAATAAAAATTAATACAAACTGGATTACGTTGATAGAAATATATCTATAAAAAGAAATAAAGATATATAGTGTAATATCATCAAAGCCATACAGAGAGTGGGGGTGGTAGAGAACTCACAAAATTAACATGAATTCAGGCATATCTCCCTCAATATTAGGGAATTAGAGAGTTGTAGAGGACCTCCAGCGATGATTCTGGATATAAAGTAACAGGTCTTCTGATTCACTCCAAATAAAAGGGAGAAAAAAATTGATAGTGCAGATTGTATAAAAAATAACAATTTATTACATGTATTGTACTTACAATGTTTCAAAACAAAAGCAGCATATCTCCACATCAGGTGGTATTCACGTGTTGCAGCTAATCCAATCACAGTAAAGGATTACAGGCAGCACCAGCAGCAATAAAATAAAACAAAAAATAAATGTTCATATGAACATTAGAGCAGTTCCAACGTGTTTCGTCCTCTTGGACTTAGTTTTTTTCGCCGCGCGACGGACCCACGGCGTGCTTCCACACGCAGGCGGCTGCCATCTTGGATCTCGCGGCTAAATGCAAGATACCTGACAGCCGCCTTCCCTGCTTGCTCGGCGGATTGGGAATCACCCGATTGCCGAGCTCCATACATATACTCCCCCCCCAGGGGGGGAACCCTCACAGCCCCTGGCTATACAGTTTTTCAAGACTTGACACAGAGTCAGACACATACTTTTTGAATTATATGTTACAGCATGCAAGCATAAAGAAACTGAATGACTCCCTGTACACAGGTCATTCTATATTCTGTACCCTGTACAAGGGCATACCATATTACTGTACCATTCACAGGGTCACACTAATCCACTGTACCCTCCACAGAGGCAGACCATTTTACCCCTACTCAGGGGCATACTATATTACTATACCCTACACAGGGTAATACTATATTACTGTACCTGACCGTACAACATTATGTGGGTGTCTTCTGGGTATTTTTTCATGGCACACCACCTGGGGTGACCCCCCAGATATGCATGCAGGTCACTCATAGACCATTACCTTTGATGTGGGTGTCCTCTGGGTTTTTCACGGCACACCACCTGGTGTAAACCCCGTTCACACGCACGGAGGCCTTCGCCTAAACACTTCCAATTCTACTGTGCATACAGCTCTGGGGTACAACTGTGGTGAAACCGGAATCCACACACACATACCAGACTGCTCAGTACCAGTGCCCTCCAGGTAGACGCCAAATTTATATACGCAGTCTACTCATGATTTACTAACGGACGACCCCCAGTTGTACCAGGAGTCTGGCACCATATGTACTGCCCGTCACCACTATCTCCACTGACTCCCCTTATCGCCCTACAGAACGAGAGAAATACTAGGAGTCATGGAAGACACTCAAGCCAGCCAAGATTTTCAGGCCATGATTAATGCCGCAGTAGCGGCCTCCGTAGAAAAGGTCCTATTGAGGGCACTACCCCAAAGCCAGGGCGACACAAGTCCCCCTTTTGTTTGGCGATGCCTTTATCACGGAACTTAAAAAGCTTGTTAACCTTTTTACCACCTTAAACAAGGCCCAGTCCTCACTCAAGCAAGTTTTTCACCCCCCACCAGGAAGAGGTGTTTTTGGGAGGGCTGGTCGGCAGCGGAACCGAGCCACCAGCCGCTTTTGGGCATCAGGTTCCAGATCATTCCCACAAGCCCCAAGCTTCTTCCCATCTACGACACAAAGACCCTCATCATACCGAGGGGCAGGACGGGCTAGAGGCTTCAGAGGTCGAGGACGCGGCCGTTTCTCTAATGGTGAGTCCTCCTACATACCAAAATGTTTCAAATTTTGTGGCAGGCAGTCTGTCCTTTTTCTTACAGAACTGGGAACTAATTACCAGAAAAGCCTGGGTCCTCCAGGCGGTACGCAGCTTCGTCATAGAATTCTCCACACAACCGTACAGACCACCGCCCCGCCTCCAATCCACATGTCAACGGAACAAAAGCGCCCAGTGGACGAGGAGATTCACACACTCTTCATAAAAGGTGCAGTACAGTACGCACAAGGAAGGGGAGGATTCTTAAGCAACATCTACCTGGTCAAGAAGAAAACAGGCGACTACAGACCGGTTATCAATCTCCGACAACTGAATTCATACGTAATATACAGACACTTCAAGATGGAAGGGATCCACCTCCTGAAAGACCTCCTTATCAAGAACGACTGGTTTACGCGTCTGGACCTCAAAGACGCGTACTTGTCAGTACCAGCGGATGTACACAGCCGTCGTTTCTCCGCTTCAGATGGAGAGGACAAATATGCCAGTTCACATGCCTGCCATTCGGCCTCAGTTCGGCTCCATGGTGCTTCACGAAGCTGCTGAGACCAGTGATGGCTCACATCCGAACCTTAGGTATACGATGCCTCGTATACCTGGACGATTTGCTAATCTTTTGCGAATCCGCTACCAGGCTGCGATTGCAGACAAAATATTTTGTTCACTTGCTGGAATCTTTGGGTTTCATGGTGAACAGACAAAAATCGTCTCTCTCTCCCTCCCAGTCGGTCCTATTTCTCGGCTTCGACATCGACTACCCCTGGCAAAGATAGCCTCGATACGGAAAGAAATCAGACGGGAGCTGAGGATGGATACCATACCGCTCAGGATGCTAGCCCGGATTGTGGGACTCCTCTCCTCCTCCATACAAGCGATATTCCCAGGCCCGTTACACTACAGGGCCATGCAACGACTAAAAGACAGATATCTACGCACCGGACACTTATACGACCACTGGATCCCTCTGTCGACGGAAGTGAGAACGGAACTTCGATGGTGGTTACTGCACATTCAAGCCTGGAATGGCAAGGCAATTTTTGGCTCTTCTCCAGACTTCATTGTGGAGTCAGACGCCAGCCTGTGGGGATGGGGCGCCCACTGCACGAACGCCTCCACGGGAGGCCCATGGCAGGGGCAGGAGACCAACCTGCACATCAACTGCCTGGAACTGATCACGGGGTCCTTTGCCATCCGCAGTTTGGCCAAGGACAAGTCGAACTGCTGCATCTTGCTCCGCATGGACAACGTGTCGGCAGTACAGTACATCAACCGCCTAGGCGGAGCCAAGTCCCAAGCCCTGACAGAAGCCATGA